ATAAATAAATAAATAAATAAATAAATAAATAAATAAATAAATAAATAAATAAATAAATAAATAAGGGCCCTCCTTGGTGGCACAATGAGTTAAAGCACAGCATTGTGAAGCTCTCCTCAGCCACTGCTACACCAGTTCAATTCCCAGCCTGGGAGGTGATCCACATGGTGTAGTAGATCTCTCCTGGCCTGCTTGCTGCTTCCCTCAGCAGTGTATTTTGGTCAGTCTGCCTGTTCGGCTCCCCACTCTGTCTCTGGTGAATGCTCTCACCCCACTACCTCTGGCCTGTACCGCAGTTCATGTATGCATAAATAAATCTTTAAAAAAAATGACAAGGATGTGAAATAATGGTAGTTCAATAAAAATAAATGCATAAAACAACTAAAGGCATATGGCCCATAAGATGTTGTGGGACTTGGATAATTTAACAAACTAACGGTAAAGATACAAAGTGGAGAGGTCTTGAATTAGTGTATGAGCACATACTTTTCTACAAGTCTCAAAGAAAAATCCCTTTCTAGTACTTGCTTACTTTGAGACTCTGCATAAATCATCTAAATTTCTAGATCTCAGTTTTCTTATTCTTGAAATAAATGATAGTTTGGGGAAAATGTGCTTTCAAATCCATAATTACAGGTAGGTAATACAGCAGACCTACTAAAGACCAAGGGAAGGAAACCAAGAATCATATACTTTAGGCAAGTCAACAGGTAGATTGTTATATTAATGTCTCTGTGAAGATCCCACCTTGAATAAACGCATCCTTGTATGGCCCCTCCCTGAACTTGGCCATGAGACTTGCTTTGTCCAAGGAGGGGTGAGCAAATGTCACATAAGAGACCTGAAAAATACTTATACATTGCCACTTAAGGGTCACCATGTAAGCTATATTGCTGAAAAGGTTACATGGAAGAGAATTGTGTATACAAGCCAGTGGCATTTGCTGTCCCCACCTGGGAACATCCAACTGCAGTTATGCCACCAGATAACCCAAGCAAGAACATTAGATGAATCACCCAACTGAACAAAATGTGTAGCATTGTGAGAAAATAAATGATTATTTCAAGCCACTAAGTTGCGAGATGGTTTTGCATTCACAATAGATACCAAATTCATTCAGTTATTTGGTAGGATAATCCCATTATGCCACTGATACTGAAATTCACAAATTAAACTAAGACTGATCAATCATATAAATTAAAAACCTGTACTGCTTGCTAATAAGAAAGGAAAGCAGCAAATGCACAAAATAGAGCCAGAAATCATATTTAAAAAGAATAAGCATCATGTGTGGGTGAACTTACTGAAACAGGATCCTCTATGAAGCAGGTGCTGAAAAATATGGCACAGAGATTCTTCACTTTGGGCAATGGTCCTACAGGTGCACTGCACTTGAAGGACTGTCCCCAAGGTACCAATATAAGCGGCTTTGCAGTCATCACTTCCTGAGCAAGTGAGGTCCTGCTTGTTGAAGGTACTGATGCAGGTCTCATCTTCCTGGCAGCTGCTAGTGATATTCTGCCAGCATTTTGACAGAAATGTTTGATAGCGCCTCCTAGAATAATTCAAATGGAATTAATCTGTTAATAGTATTATTCCATGTTAATATTTGGTGCTACCTTACCCAATTTAACACTGCGTAAGACCAAATGATGTCTAGCTGTTGTTACATACCTGAAAATTAAACTTCTATATCCAAGTGTCCCATAAGAGAGGGTGAAAGAAAAATTTAAGAGAAACCATGTAGATTATTTTCCTTTTGTGATGAAAGGCATTGGCTTTATTTAAGATTCCTGTCTGATTTTTTTCTTCATTGCTATTTGATTTCAATGAGTGATGATTTACAGTATGAACTACTTAGGAGATTTCTTAGCAATATTTTTGAAGCAGTCTGTGCATTTGTGACCAATAGTTTGCTAGCACTTAGCCATTGTCTCACACAGAGTGATTTCAGATAAGACTCTTGACCATTCGAGCCAGTATCCCCACAGGACAGGGGTATGCTGTTTTTTCTCAGCATTGCTAAACAGACTGACTAGAATTTACTAAATGATTTGATGTTCTCTGGCAGCAACAGCTAATTTAAAGCAAAACATTATGAGTTCACTTAATAGCCAGGATAATCCACTAGATCTGCATCCATTCATGACTTATCTGAGTATGTATATGATTATTTTATTAGCTTTAAATAAACATCTGGATAATGTACAATAATTTAATTTTTGAAACATTTACATTAAAAAGATATTCTTCGCAGAGGAACCAGACATTATCCTTCCTATTTAATATTTATCACCTAAAGTTATGTTTTACCTTTTCTTGAATAGGTCACCATCAAACAAGCACAAAACCCTGAATACACCCATTTATCACAAGCTTATTCCATCCAGTGATTCTATTTTGCTTATAACCAAAAACTACATTAGTTTTCCTAGTTTCATAGTTAAACTATCTTAAAAGAATAATTTTTATACAATGTTAAATATTAATTTTAAAATGTTTATTTAAGGAAGTACTACAACATTTTGCATATAAAATTCTGAGGCTGGAACAAATTATTTTCCTTTATGCAAGTAATGCTTCACCTAGATATTAGTGTTAATTTAGATCTAGCTCCCATTTATTCTTTTAAGTAGTATATTTAGGTAAATTTATGATGCATGATTTATCTATCTGCTCATAGAGCTATTTCATTTGGAAAAGTGGTATAATTTTTTCAAAAATGAAAACAAATGAAGAGAAAATTAAATATTAAAACATCATAAAATTACCTTGACATATTAGTTATCTAAATCATTTGAAATTAAAATTTTAACTACTTCACAGATTTTTGTTTTATGCTTGAAATGTTTTGATGTATAGGATTTTGTCATTCCTATTTTCTCAAAATTCTGCAGTTTTAAATTTTGATTTATTACTCAAATGAACAAAAGAGTAATTATTTTTAAGGGAGTGGATCATTTTGCATAACAAAATGTAAAGAGAAGGCACCATGTAACTCTGCTCACATAATGATTTATAAATATTTGCCTTTGAACTAATATGGAGTCAAACTTTGCAAATATTCCATGAAAATAAATGTTCCCATTATAGAATTTCACTTTTAAAAACAGCACTGTTTTTTAAGCAAATAGCCTTCTTTACACTCTCTTGACCTCATAGGTCAGGAAACCTGACATATTGATTTCTTTAAGTTCCTACACATCTATAGTTGACCATCTGTAATCTCACCACCCAGGGTATATTTGTGTTGAACAAAATTAAAAATGGACTTTATATTGCTTTCTTAGCCTTTTCAATTAAACTGGAGAGTCTTACAATATATGATGGATTGAGAAATCTGGAACATGGACATAAGTTTTATTTCAAAACTAAGTGACTTGTCTAGTCCCATTCATAGAGTCTACTGCAAAAACAGAAAGTGATGAGGCCTTAAACTTCTTAACAAGTAGTTTGACACTTGGAGAAACTTTTTTCTATTTGAATTATATTAAAATAATACAAATACCAGAAATCATCCTAAGGCAAAATTGTATTGAGAAAATGAATTATATTTTCATCATCACTTCTAATACTGCATAGTATTTCTATCACCTTTATAAGGTAGTCCTGAAGAGATTATTTGCAGTGATAAAAGAAACCAAAAACACACAAGTGCTTGCTCATAGAACTAATCTCTGAAACACAGAAATTATGTGAGTTATATGGTATCAAAACATTATAAAAATTAATTGCAAGATAAAAATGAGGAAAGTATGACAAATCTTGTTTTGAGTTACTACACACTAATCTACTCCATATTAAATGTATGTTTTAATCTTTAAGTGACTTTGCTATTCATGAATTTTACTTATTTAAAATAACATTGAATGAAACAATCCCCGATAGAAGTAATTTAGTGAAAACATAAAAATGACCTACCGAAGAAGTAAAAGATGGATTAAAAAATTCTACAATTTTTTGTTGGTTAAGTTTCTTTAACATGTAAACTCAATGCTACTCAGAGTTTTGATTCATCAAATTTATTTGGTATTCTTAGTCTTTCCTCTACCTTATTACTCTTGTCCAGGGAGACTGCTCAACTTTGGATTTCTTACCACAAAAGGTAAGTTTGTCTTGAATATACAAGCAATGTGTTAATGAAGACTGTACTGAGGAAAGGAAAATCCAGAATGTTGGATTAGATTTATGATTTACTGAGTGGAATTACCTGCAAAAGTACAGTCTAGTCTTAACAGTCAGAGCTGAAGTTGTAACAGGAGAGCTGGGTCATTCCTACCTCTGCTCAAAATCCACAAGAACCAGTGCTTTTCACTTGGAGTAAAAACCAAAATGTTTAGTGTCCCTCATGTTTTGAGGCCTGCCGGGAACCCATCCAGTTAAATCTGTAACTACATCTCTGATTGCCCTTCCCCTTCCACTCTCTGTTTGTTTATCTAACATGCCAAGCATATTTCCTCCTCAGAATTGGCTGGTTTGTTTGCCAGATATACTTCTTTCAGATAGTTCCTGAGAAAGCCTCATTCCCTCACTTCTTCAAATCTGATAAAATGCTCCCTACTGGGACCACCCTATTTGCATTGCAACTCTTTCTGCCCATTCACAGTTCCCCTTGTTTTGTTGATGTGAGAATGTGTGTGTATGTTAATCCCCAGAGCACTCAGGGCCTTAAAATATAATAAACATTTCCTGACTTATTATCTGGTATCCCCCCACCCCCAACAAGAATATAAACTCCAGGGCACAGCATTTTTGTCTCTTGCATACTGATGCCTAGAGGAGTAGACAAATTGATAAGTTTAATTTAGATAATTATATATATGGCTAGTACTGTTTTTTAAGGTATGAAATTAGGAGGAGAATGGGCCTGTTTGTGTATCAAAGCATGTGTGTGGACTTGGGATGTCCAAAGTATACTAATTCTGCATTCTTCTCTTTGTCTCCAATCTAAGAGAGGACTGATACTAAGTTTGTCAAAATTCTATGACTTTATCAGCCTTATATCATCATACCAAAAAAAAAAATTAAAACAGAGACACATATGTCAGGCCTATTAACCAATTTATTACTCTAACTTGAATATATAATTTTAATGGTGCCATAACCCTGATATACTGAAAGATTCTTATTCCAAAATACATTCTATGAATTTCAAAAAGTACACAACACATGCACTACAGATTCAAACATATGAGTTGTCTGGCTCTGTTTACATCATGCTGGATGGTTGTGGGAACTCTAGCTAATGTAATGAGATCAAGTGTTAGAACTGGACTGTAACAAATAAGGTGCCGAAATAAGAAAGTAAGGTATGTGTGTTTTTACTCACCTGCATAATTCATCATGTCGGCAGCTGTGAATTACATGGAGGCAAGTAGGGGGTGGAACTATGTTCACTGCACATGGCTTGCTGTGAAGAGCTTCTTTGGACTGCTGACAAGGTATATCAGATTGAGCACAGTCACAGAAAGCCAACATCTGGGCAATGTTAAAAGGCATGTTTTGATAGAAGAACCGTATGGCTGTTTGGCAGTGTTTCACATCACACAGATTTCCATTTGCTGAGCAAGCTTTAAGGTAGGGGACCAACTGTGCATTACAGACCACATCCCCTACACACGCCTCTGTCACTTCTAAACAGGACTGGATTCCTTTGGTTTCTGAAAACAATGGCACACCCATCATGAAGGGTATATAGAAGCTGGATATACAGAATCTGAAAACCACTATTTGAAGTCCAATAGCTAAGTAAAATGATGTATCAATGTGCTATTTTTGGCAAGCATTACCTTTTTTTTTTTTCTTAGAATAAGTATAAATTTACTGAGACCTGAATAGTGGGCTATTTGAATCATCTTTCATCTATATGCAATACATACTGTGAGCCAGAAATGATGGGAGTATGTGGGGCCAAAACTGAGCTGAAGGAAAATTTCTTGAGTTCATGTTTCTCAAATGTAAACAATAAATCTTCAGAATCACATCTGAACTTTATAACTTCTGGTGAGTTCATTGGCTTGAATCAAAATGATTCTTGTTCTGTTTGTTATGCTTTTGCATTGGGGAGAATCTGAACTATAGTTTCCACATATCCATACATACATGATGAGTGGGCAAAACAATCATTTTGATACATTAGTGGAAGCAATGAAATAATTTTGTTGCATTTAGTAATATCAGAACCATGACAAAGCTAATGAATTATCTACTAGCCTCTGGCTAAGAAGTCTAGTAACTGCATTTAAACTTGCACTGTCTAGTTTTCATGACAATTGTTAAACATTACCATGATAGGAAAGTGTACTCAGATTCCACTTGAATGTATTATCCTCTTCCATGTTATCTAGAAGGAAAACAATGAGACTATTTTATTAATGAAAAATTCTCTTAAATAAGATTATGAGCTGTATTTATAAATGAGTAACCAAGCAAAAATGCATGCAAACTCATGCAGTTTTTGATTCTCAAAATTAGTGAGGTATGAAGAAAAGTAAATCCCTGAAATATCATTCAAGTGACTTCAATAGATCTGCTCTAAGAATTCAGTTACTTGAAGATTTAAACAAATGCTAATGACTAGGCCATGTGCATTGACATAAACAGAGAATTTCTCTAAGGAGAAAGACCAGGAGGAATATTGCCTAAACAGGAAAAAAAAAATGTTCTTCCCTGTTGGGTCTTAATTAGACTGAAATACAATTTAAAGATAATTTCCACCTTTGATTACCTTAGCTTCCTAGAGTTTTTAGGAATGACAATCACAGAATTGGCGATTCTTAGTGAAGGATATGTATTCCTTGGCCTGCTACTTGTAAAGTCATTCATTTATTAAGTATTGGCTAAATCTTAGATTCATAAACCAAATGCCAAGTTGATGACACTAACCTGTAGTCCCATGGCATTGGGACTGTTATTTTCTACGAGTCTGGTAGGAAATATATGCATATAAGCAAACCAAAGTAAGATAAAGGAGCATCAACCGACATAGACACAAAATAATGTGGAATACTAGGATTGTATTTTCATTTTCAAATAAAAACTCAGTTTTGCCATTGACTAATGATTAGATATTAACTTCTGTTATAATATATGTCCCTTCACGATTCGATTTATCCTCATTTGAGCTGTGCTTCAATGTTCTTTGCCTGCCCATCTCTTGCATGCATATGAAGGCACGATTGTAAGAAATTTCTTTTTACCGTCACGTTGAAAGTTTTTCTAGATTTCTGACATTAGTCCAACTGTTCTCATTATGGTGGTTTTTCATTCTATACTACATATTAATACATAACTGATTGGCATGGCAGTGTCACTGATTAAAACATTCATGAAATTATCACTGAATACTAAACTATCTGCACATTAAAATGGCATTATAGCTATGTGTGTGTGTGTGTGTGTGTGTGTATACCACACACACATACAGAAACATAACATAGTCACATACACACTACCTCCTGCCCCTCCAGAGGATTCTTTAAACGGTAGCTTAATTACTAAGGAATAACTAAAGGGCAGTATGTCTTGGAGATAAATGTACTCAGCCAGAGTATATCTGAGTTATAAAATCATATATATCAAAAAATGGATACTGGGGGGGGTCCCAGTTTTAATATGTAATATAGAATGAAAAGCCACCATAATGAGTACAGTTGGACTAATGTCAGAAATCTAGAAAGACTCTAAACCCGATATTAAAAAGTTTTAACACTATAAAGCTATCAGCGCCACTGCAGCCATGAGTTTGATCCCTGGCCAGGGATGAACCCATGTGGCGGACCTCTCCTATCTCACCCACTGTTCCCCTCAGCAGCATATTCCAGTAGATCTGCCTGTTGTCTTCCCACTCTCTCTGAATCCTCTCACTACCCACACCTCTGGCCTGTACACTAGTTCTTATCTGCATAAATAAATAAATCTTTTTTAAAATGGATATTGTTACCTTTTATTGATTCACTAATATAAAAAACATATCAAGAATCTAGTAACTTCTCTCTCTGCTGCTTGTGGTCCAAAATGCCAAAGATTTCTTTGTTGATCTTAACCAGGTTCCATATTTTTAGTTGCCATCTGTAAGTAAATAACCTTCCTCCTCCTACAATTTATCTCCTACTGCACAGATAATACTTCTTTACACTATCCACAGCAATTCGACATCATTTCCATACACAGAACTGTGTACTTCTTATCTTTACTTGGATATATAGCAAACATTTCAAACTTAATGCATCTACAACTGACTGTTTACCTCTCTTACCAGATAGTCTTCTTCCTATTATAATTAATGAAAATAATGGTAACCCCATCTAATTATTCAGAACAAAAATCCTGGAGTCAATTTTAACTCCTTTTTCTTGCATTTGTATATAATCCACTAATATTAAAGTAGATCCAGAATCTGACAACTTTGCATTTTGGTCTATTGTCCATCATCTTTTTGTTGTATCACAGTGAAAACCTTCTAATTGGTCTTGCTACTTGGGTTTTTGTTTCTCTTCAATTGTCCATGCAGACATGGGGAATATCTTATTAAAGATATAAATCTAGATGTGAAACTTACCTGATCAAAATCCTCCAGTGCTTTCCTATATCATGCAGAAAAAGAGCCAAAGGTCATGACCACAAGATGCGTTTTATTTTTTATCTTAACTCCTTCCCCTCTCCCTGGATTTTTCAAACCTTCGCTCTTCCTCCATTTTTCAGCACATAGTCTTAGCTCAAACCTCTAACTTGTTTCTTCTGCCTGAAGTGTTTTCCCCATGATTTCCTCACTATGCATTCCCTGCTTGTTTTAATCTTTACTCCCACAGTAATTTTATTAGAGCAAATTCTGACCATTCTATCAAAATTACAAAACATCCATTCAGATCTCTTCATTTTTCTCTTTAGTATTTATACTGCTTAAAACATGTATGTTAAGGTCATTTGTTTTGTTAATTCTTTCTTTGTACCCATACTGAGTTTTGGGGTCCATTGCTGAGATCCTCTCCTTGGTGATCCAGCTGGTCAACTTCCTAGCTGTTTGGACTATCATTGGGTGCTGCACCACAATGGGTCCTTTTTCAGTCATTGTCCTCATCCAAAGGAAATTGCCACTCCCAAATTTACACTTTCCCAGAGAACAGTTCATACCCAAGGACTAGCCAAAATTAAGTGTTCAAGAAACTAGCTCCCTTACCTCAATGGCTGAAATCTATCAAAGGTCATCCCAGACCTTAGTATCCTGTAGAATCAACTAAGTTTGCTGAAGTAATTATACTCGGTTTCCACTTTCAGTCCACCTTATTCTATACTTCCTACTATCTCCTGATTATTAGCTGTTAGCCTGACACATTTTGTGTGTGTGTGTGTGTGTGTGTGCAAAACGTTCTCAGTCTAATTCCAGAGAAACTAACACAAAACATTCTTTAGAATATAAGCTTCTAGAAAACAGTAATTTCTATTTGCATTGCTTACTGCATCATCACCAAGCCCTAGAACATGGCCTAGCACATGCAGGCACTAAGAAAGTTATCTATTAAATAATCAACTCACCACATTTTACTTCTTTAATTTTTAAAAATGCCCACCAAAATAAGCTCTTTGAAAGAATGATTTTTTTTTAAATCCTGCCGCAAAGAACTTAACACATTATAAATGACTCATAAAATTTGTTCAATGAACAACTGAATGAAGAAAGTTTTATGCTAAAATCTCAAAGCATTTTGCCTCTTCCTTTATAACCCCTTTAGGGCATAGTCATGGTATTAATAATTTAAATGATTAAATTATTTTAACTTCCTAGGAGATACACAGAAATGGCAAAGCTGGAATCAAAACGTAAATATCCTTTGACTTATATTATTGATTATATTTAATGTTACTCAGTTATTCTTTCAAATACCAACCTGAAACAATATTCTGGTTAAATCTATCTTCATGGCTTTTGCTGAAGGGTGGAACTTGAGTTATTTGAGGATCCTGTACACATATGTCTTCAAACAAACTTTTCCAAATTTCAATGCAGCCTACTTTCAAAGGGTCATTGCATTGACAATTCCACAAGATTGTTTCTTTCAGACTTTCTCTTAATGTAACACATAGGTGGCTTCCTTCAGGTGTCTTGCATTGTTCTGATTCTCTCCCACAGTTTTTCTTAAACTCCTCATACAACCACATACAATGCTCAGAGTCCTGGCAGATGTGGGTTGCCATGACACAGTCAATCATTTGTTTAATCATTAACGATGCATCCCTCTGAGGGAACCATTGTGTAATGTTTGATTGCGAAGTCAAATCTGACAATAGTGCTGACTCTTCTAAAAAAAAGTTTTAAAAATAACTAAAAATTAGGTCAATAGCAGGTAGTTTTTAGAGATAAAACAGGGATACTAAGGATCTGGAAATTGATTGCTTTAGAATTACTTGATCACATCTATCTCTCAGAAAATTTTTAAATATCCTCAAAAATACATGCAGGCAAGTTTGACTACCTCAAATCTAGCGTTCATTTGGTAACTAAATAAATGCAGGTAGGTAGTAAAAAAATGCAGGTTAAATCATTAAATGCTCCTATCCAAAGGCAAGTATAACTTTTGGTAAGTGGTTATATTTTGGTCTTTCACAGGAGACCCTGAATTCTTTAACAGAAAGGATAACATATTTATCTTCTATTATTTAAGTCTTGCAAAAAGTCACAGTGAACCCACAAATATAGTATTGACTGAGTCTATAAATCTGAGTGTATCTCTAAGTAATAATTATAACTGAATGAAGCTTGAAATTTTGGGTCAGCAATTACAGAAATTTATTATGCACTTCACGAGAATGGCAGCTTACAGAACCTTAACTTATATCAAGAATTAATCAAATAAGATAGGTTAGTGTGATTGTCAAAGTTTTTTTTTTCCTTTTCATAACTGTGAATATTCCATATAATAACACATTACCTGATTCATTGGTGCACTTTTCTCCAAACAATTTGTTAAGCGTACAATAGAGGTCATCAGTGCAGAGACAATCTTTGAATTGGACATTGCTTTCCATGAAGGACTGGATTCTCAGGTTACAGTCAGATGCATCCTTCATTTTGCAGAGCTTATCTGTATTTTACAGTCAAACATATAACACTCCAGATATTTATGTGACTATAACTCTTGAGCGGTCCCTACCCAAAGTGCTAATCTGAGTAATTCATTATTATAATAAAAATATGTGAAATTGCTACAGGATGTATATATAGGTGGCTTTTAAGCAAAATACTTAGTTTTCTCTATTCAACCAGTTATTTGTCTCAATCTACTGCCTTACTTTATATTTCGGTCTAAGATTATAGTAAGAGATGTGTAGGTGGTTCTAAATTTATCATGAGAAATGAAATGATCTTGGCACTTACAAAGCACTCAGTAAATATTCTTGACTAATAAATCTTTCATGATTACCAATATTTCATTTTCTGTTTTAATTTAAAAAGTCATATTCATCTACCCAACAATTTTCTTTTATTCATTTTCTGAATAAAGCTACTTGAATTCATTACATCTGTGTACTAGAGGATATTTCTATTTCAGCTTCCCATATGGGATAATTATGATAATATTATTGCACTTCACTGAAAATTACTTGCTATTTATATACACATAAATAAATGTTACAAATCATGACACAGTGAGTGCAGTCTTTTAACAACACATTTTAAACTGCCTTACATAATTTGCCAAGGAGCTTCATTATCAAAACAAATAAAAGATTTAAGTCACTACCCTCTATTCTCATCTTAAACTTCCTGTGTTACTTTGAATAAGTTATGCCTTTGAAATTCTTTCCTTGGGCAGGAGCAAGGATCTACTCCATGAATGTTGGATTAGATAGCCAGAACATTCTTTGCAGTGTGGCTATTGCTTTTACTCCCTAAAGAGCAGAGAAAGAAGGGATTGTCTCTGCTTTCTTCTACATGGAAGTAATGCTAGTGGTTGATCCACTGATGAGGACAGTGAATACTGGTACTGTCAGCACTACAGGCTGCTCAAGCACACACTCTTAACAGTATCTGACAGCCTGAGGAGGCACATGAAGACAAACAAGAGTCATGAGCAGTAAGGAATTGCTCTAGATGGATGGAGAAACAAAGAAAAGCAGAAAATAGTAGCTTATTAAACTCACTTTTGAATTTTCTTAACATTCCAGAAGTTTATCAAGTTTTTATAATATAATGTTCAATTAAGTAGATACAACTTTTCATTATGTCACAGTATAGTATTTTGAAGTGTTTTATCATATTAATCTTAGGGCAATGTTATAAAGTTATACATGATCAATGTATTTGTTTTTAGTGAGTGAAGTGTTGCTAGAATGCTCTCATTCAGTACTGGTCCAGCTACTTTGTGTATTCAGGATTGTTTTTCCTTTTAACAGATGAGAGTAACTCTTTACTCTTCACATTCTCTATCCATTTGCCTTCCCCTCAAATGTTTAGAATGTAGAAGTTAAATAAGAAAATATTTCATTCACCTTGATGCAGCTGGAATAAAAAATACGTGTGTTACAAAAATGTAAGATGTACATTATGCACTTACAAATACATAACAATGTTTTGGATCATCAATTTTTTTCTCTTTTATTATTGATATTTTAATATATAAGAAAAAGAACATTTTACTTAAAAGTGACTGCCATGTTTCTCAAAAACATGTACAAAATTATACCACTACAAATGGTGAGATATGTAAAAAAAAAAAAATCTAAAACTCACCTAAAGCTGTTTGCATTGTCATTACTTAGGGGCCCTGAATAATTAAGAACCCTTTGTCACTAAATTGCAGGTGAATCATTTTAGTATCGGTTGGAGCAAAGTATTTAAGACAAAACTTAGTTCGTAGAATAGCAAAAAAAAAAAAAAAAAAAGAAATCTCAAATCCTGCTTTTATCTAGGCAAGGAAAAATGTTGAGTTTACTTGAAACAGCTTGTTTTACCTGAAACTCTGCAGACATCTTCCATTGTTCTCCAGGAATGCTGACATTCATTTGCATCACTTAGGCACTGCTCCCTTAAATATATGCAATCAATGGTTTGGGAAGCAGATTCATTTTCTATGCATAGTCCTATAACTTGACCAAGAATAACAAAATGATGACAACAGAACATCCAAAACAAATTTGTGATACTGCAATATAGCAGTTGTTTATCTCAAAATGAACTTATTAATAATAAAGAGTACAATGGAAAATAAAAGTTGATAAAGTCATTGAAGACTGGAATGAATCTTACTCATTCTCTCTCTCTTTGGCAGAACATGGGCACAGGTGGGCAGAGGACTTTTGCCCTGTGCCAGTGCGAAGAACACTTACTGACAGGCTTTTTCTATGGGAGGGGCTCACTCCTTCATGGAGTAGTTTTGTCTGTTGTTGACTTTGAATAAACTGTGTAGAATTTGAAAGGCACCAGATTTCTGCAATGGCCCTCCATCTCCATATCTTCCAATTCAGGTCTGCACTCCAGAAACCCCCTACAGCAGTCTAATACCTGCCTGGGTCTGGTGATTTGGGATCCAGGCCTTGGAGCCTTATTTTCTACAGATGGGCAAATTGCTATTGTTAATCCCTTCTACCCCACCTCCAATTCTTGGCAGAGTGTGAGCCAAGTTTCTGATCTTGAGGTACCTCTTTTTCTCTTCACTGACCTCCCTCAGTAGAGGCCTCTGTCCTCAAGGCCTCCCACATATGACCTCTATCTTAGCAAACCTGTCCCTTTCCCGGGTAGTCCTTTCTGCCAGTTTGTGTCTATGCAAGTAGCCTTTATTCTTCTCTCCCTTTTACAATAAACCTGCCCAAATTTTAGATGTAGCTAACATCTCTGTGTTGTGGAGAAACTCTCCTGGGAACTCGAAGGTGCTGGTGAAAGGGGAGCTCTGGAGAAACCTTTTCCAGAGTGAACTCAAGGATGCTAGCTTCCCAACGCAACAACTCCAAAAACTCTCACTCAAATATTGATCAACTAAAAAGTTCATCTTTATCTGGCACACAAGTATCAAAATAGCTTTATTTGCCCCAAATCTTATTAATTTGATCATGGTTTATGGTCACATATTTGAGCCAGGAGTTTTCAAGAATTCTCTTGAAATGTTCAGAGAAAAATAGGTTCCAATTTGAAATAATTAAGATGGAAAAGCTGCACCTTATATCACACTTTGTAAGGCTCATTAAGATGCTAGAATGCTTCTTTTTTAAGGAAAAGAAAGCAGTTTTATTATTCAATAATCATTAAACTAAAATGAGATGTCCACAGAGGGCAATCTGATCAGAGTTTGCAGAGACAGAGAAACCTTGTCCTTCTACTTATTCAAGAGGTCACAACACCATGTATCCCCTGAAGAATAACAATAGCTAGTCCTCAAATAGGAGAAACTGACAGCACCATTTGTCACACAGGGAGCATCCTGCATTCTCTTGGTAGTTGGTATAACCATCTCAGTAGGTAGTTGTTTTTATGTCAAGAAAAATACACTTCTTATATCCTAAAAACTAAAAGTACTTTTGTAACGTACTAGTGAGAAGCCAGCTGAAGTTCAGATTTGATCCATCCAGAGACCTGTCCTACTTGATGAGAACATTTCAAACACACATTCCAGGGTAGCTGATAAGAGGCTACTTAGCATTTCAAAAGAGTTACAGGCGTTTCAAAGGAGCAGAGAAACCACAATTCCAATTCCAAAGTAAATGCTCTAAAACAAGAGCTGGGGAAATGGATTAGGATAAGGAGTTTTTATTTTCATTGGAGAGAATAAAGTTTCTCAATTTTAATTTGCATTTCCCCTTATAGTACACAAGTAAAACATACATATAAACATGCACACACATATCCAGATAAAAGAAAAATACAGAGTAGAAATAGGAAACTGATTTAGGATGGGGTGATGAACTTTCAGAATTCGTATTTATATAAATCTTTTGCCTTTCAGATGTTCTATTTTAAAAATCATTATGAATAGACTGTTGTTGCTTTTCCAGCCATTTGAGATGTTATGATGTTGTGCTTCATTGTATTATTGCCTGGTCTACAAAAATTAGTTTCTTAGATGTCTCTTCATAATAAAAAACAGAAATAAGACAAACTTGTTAAAAATAAACATAAGGACACTGGATAACTATTATTTAAATGAAGGAAAACATAATTGGACTAGGCATCTTTGTTTTTCTGTCCAATATTATGCCTTTACTCCTTGATATCTGTTAGCCCAGAGTAAGCAGAAAATGTGCTGGCTTTGTTTAAATGCATTACTAACTTTCAGCCACAAACATAACTTATTAGATCTCCTGAATTCACTATATAGATTATACTAAGCATTGAAGACTATCTAATAGCTTCAATAATACACATGTCAAGTATTATTGTATTTTTGCTATAAATATCAACTATTATTCTAAGAATAGATTTGCTCACCAATATCTTAAATACATAGTACTAAATACAAGAAAGCAAAGTCTTATTTCTAGCTCACAAAAAATGGTCAAAATGTAAATGCTATGTTCTTTTACCTTACTAAATGACTCCTAAGTAAAAAGTTATATGTTAAAAAAGTTATATGTTAGGAGAATTGATTATTTAAGCTCATTTTAATTTCAAAAATAAAATAGATAATCTGAAATGTATCACAATGTAAATTGACACTAGTTTTTATTTCTAAAAGGCTCTAGTATATATGTAAATTCCATAAGTCCTAATAATTAAAAAAATCACTATCTTATTTCATCCAGTCACATAGAAACAACTTGATTAATGCAAATCTCAAGCTGCGATGTTCTATAGAACTAAAAATGACTAAAATAAATGAACATTTTGCAAGAGTAATAAACCATGCTAGCTGTAAGTTGTAAATGATTTTTCATATTACAAACCTGTTAGCTTAGTCAACAATATTAAATAGAACAGCATTTGATTAATGAAAAATTAGTCTTATTATGAAATGGGATAAATGAGAAGTATAGATCACTTACCCAGTAAAATGAAGACTATCATGCTGGACTTGGTTGAGTCTGTTCACCTGGAAGAAAAGCAGATACATTTACTCCACCACGTTCTTAACAAAAACTGTCCAGAATTAGGTTTTGACGTCTGCTCTTGCTTCCTAAGAGTGTTACTGATTCAAATTAGTTTCCTATATCACCTTGTCCTCACCAATATGTCCTGAGCTGTGAACTTTCTTAATTATATCCAAATTCAATTATTTTCTTGCAAGTGTACTGATCTCGGATATTACACTTCCCAGAAAGCTCACCAGCCAGATACTAAAAGAAATGATACATATTCTGCACAGTCATGCTGTGAATATTTTTCTTCAACTAGAATACAAAACTGGGTAAAAATCTCCTCAAATATAACCTTAAATTTTCTTAGACACTAGAATAAGCTCTGTTACCAATTTATTAAGTAGATTGATCCAAGCAGTTTTATGTCATTTGAGGATGTGCTGAAAAAAGCATAAGCAATCCAGGAAAATGTACAGGAACTCAGGTTCTACTGAAATCAGACTTCTTCCCAAACAAGAAATGTTCTTCACATGCACTAAAAAGTGTGCTGCTTCAATTTCAGTTCTGCAAACCTTCTGAATGCAATGTCAATATAAGAAATGATTCAGTATGGTGATGGAGAAATTCCATCATTTTTTTCCACTGGAAAGGTAATCATCCATTTGATAGCCATTTATCTCTTTGCTTCAATGAGAGACACTGTTATTGTCTAAATGTTTGTGTCCCTCCTAAATACATATGTTGAAATCCATTCCCCCAAAGATGCTGGTATCAGTAAAGTTTTTGGAAAGTGCTTAAATCACGAGGGTAGAACCTTCATCAATGAGAACAATGCCTCATAAAATGAGACTCCGGAGTGACCCTTTACTGCTTCCACCTTGTGAGGAACATCACGAGAAGCTGCTCACAATGAACCAGGAAGAAGAACCTTACAAGAATGGCACCTTGATATTAGTCTTCTAGCCTCCAGAAATATGGGAAAGAAATTTCTGTGGCTCAGAAACTCCAAAAGCCATTCTATTTTTGTTAGGGTATGACCAAGGGCTACCCCAGAGCCCCACAGTTGCATTTACTAAAGGAGTTCATCAATCCTCTTGCACAAAGACAAATCATATTCTTAGTATGAAAGCACCTTAATTAGTGCACATAGAGTGAAGAAAGGATAATAATATCCCACTAGAATACCTGAAATTTCCCACTTCTTTGTGGGTAAATGCTCAACCACACTGGGTTCACTTAAGTGGGGCCACAGATGCCCAGTCTAGGGTACCTTCTAGAAGGGAACCACAAGAAGGAATAACAGGGTCCTGACAAGTCTGAGAGCAAAAAGCAAAATCAAAATATAAATCAAAGTAAAGGCTACCATCTTCTACACATTTCACCCCTGTGTCTCTTTCCATGTCTCTCATGTCCGTGGTACAAGTCCAAAGTCAAGAAGCAAGTGAGCCCTTCCCCATGTCTCCTCAGAGCCCACTTGCCTTCTGTGTCATAGTTTCACTTGTCTGTTCAGCTCTGTCCAGAATTTAATTGGGGTGGAGGAGACATGGTACCTTCCCCTTTTTTGGACACCTGAATAGAAAGCCATTTCTTTCTTTCTGTCTTTCTTTTTTAAGATTTATTTATTTATATAGAACTGGGGTACAAGCCAGAGGTGCAGGGGTGGTAAGAGGACTCACCAGAGACAGAGTGGGAAGCAGAGCAGTCAGATCAACAAAGTACACTGCTGAGGGGAGCAGTGGGCAGGTAGGAGAGGTCTGCCACGCCATGTGGACCACCTCTGGGGTGGGACAGAACACATGCTGAAGTGGCCTTACCTTGACAGCCACTTTTATCTTCTCTTATTTGGTTCTTTTCCTTGTAAGAGGTGAATGTTTATCGCCTTCCTCCAGACATCAGGAGTTATTTACTTTTAAACCACCCTGGACGGGCTTCCCTGATGGCACAAGGGGTTAAGTCTCAGTACTATCAACCTATCAGCAGCCACGGCAGCAAGATTTCCATCTTTGACCAGGTTGCTGATCCATATGACAGAGCCCACTCTCTTTTCTTGCCCACTGCTCCCCTCAGCAGTGTATTTCAGTAGATCTGCCTGTTCTGCTCCCCACTCTGTCTCTGATGAATCATCTCACCCAGCCCACCGTGCCCGTACCTGTGACCTACAACCCAGTTCTTGTATGCATAAATTTTAAAATAAAAATTAAGCACCCTGAAAGCATTCTATAATTGATGCTTAAAAAACATAAAAGATTACCTTGACAAGAAATTAGAAAAAGTTAGGTATGACTTACCTGAGATGGGAGAGGCCTACTTGCTGCACACAGTGCTTGTTTTATACTAAAAGAGAGGTTATATTTTCTTTTCAGAAAGCATAATGGGAAAAATGAAAATTTGGAGTTCAATAAATTGAAATTACAATACTTTGATTCTTTGTAGATATAGGTAAATGAGTTTATATCAAAATTATTTATATTTACTCTTTTGTAAAATGGGTTTACGGTACCTATAGCTATATTAAATATATATATGGGGTTTGTATCACAAATACAAACAAATGCAGTTCCATTGTCTCCACTGTTTTTATTATTTAACAAAATATGTGTAATGGCATATTACTTCTATTTAAAGTCACTGTATCACTATGCTTCTATTTCAACTTTTACCAAGATAATCACTTTTTTTTTTTTATATATAAGCTAACTGAAAATGTCTTAAACTAGAGAGAATTTGGTATCTCCTATGGTTGAAGAGTTCAGGGATAGAACAAATTTTACACAGGTTTAAAAACTTGTCCCAGGGCCCAGAGTATCCCCTACCCCATACCTCCCTCACCTCTGCCTTTCTGGCTTATTTATCTCTCCTTCCCTCCCCCCCACCCCACCTTCTCCTACATCTGTTTTTTTTTAACTGCAATCTTCTGTGTCAGCTCCACTTCCTTTCTGTGGGAAGATGGCAGTTAAGCCATTGGCATGTATCCTCCCAGAAACCAGACTATAAAACAACTTTTCTTCTTTTTTTTCTTTCCTAGTTTTTTTTTTTGCTTTCTTAGTAAAGTTCTGGAATTGTGTCTCCTCAGTTTCACATGTGCCTCTACCTTTCAGACTCGCCATGTGGAACTTGATACCCCACATTCTGAATGTAGGAAGAGTAGGTCTTATTCAAAGTACAGGTGTTCATTAACAAAGGATCTGATCATGGGCAAGTGGGAAAAACAACAAAAACAGAGCCTGTGATGTTTCTAAATGCTGACTTATGTAGAGATATCATAAGAAAAATAAAATCAAAACATGATTTCTTATTTAGGGGAGGTCACAGATATATGACACAGAACCTGGAAGTAAGAATCGGGGTGAATGGTAATTTTTGCTAAATAGGTAAAGCTGCTGGGGTCAGTCATTGATAGAGAAATGATCTGCTGTCATACTTATTATACCAAAATAGCAATCACCTTTGTCAACAGCTAAAATGGAATTTTTTAACATTTCTTGAGTCATCAATGGGCAACAGACACCCTCCAAATAATTTGGTAAGACATATTTTTTTTAAAAAAGATGATTACAAAAGAAATCAGTTACATTAAAATGTACTTAGCAAAATATTTTAAAAGCAAAGTTATGTGAAAGCAATATATGTGCTTCTTTATTAAGATAGACATTTACATACTTCTAAGTGTGTTTTCTTCAAGTCATTTTACTTCTATTTATTTCTATTTTAAGTATCACTAATATATGAAAATTTTAACAATCCCAACTATTTATCGATAACTAGTATAAATACTTGGTCATATTTCTTATATTATCTACATCCATCAATCCATACAGAGATATAGGCATCTATATGAACTGTAACATTTTTCAAAGCACAAATTACACAGGAGTATGCATAAATTTTAAATTAAAATAATGTGATAAATGATGGTCAAGTATTATGAATTTTCATCAAAATTCTACATTTACTTCTTGGATTTAAGGCATTAACAATTTTTTTAAACAAATTTCTCCAAGTCCTAAATGTTAAAACAGATATTTAAATAACTCAAATCCCATATAACATAACTCAAATAACATAAAATAGCCTTTTGTCCATGTAGTGCCTTTTTTGATGCATGGAAATAACTCAGTAGTCTTCTTGAATTACACAATATACCTTTAACCAATGTTCAATATTCATAAAATACAGAAAATTTTAAATACAATAAAAATAATATGCATGTTTGTTTTTTTCACTGAAACCTGTAGATATATGTGAATTGCCTGCTTTATGTCTAACTATCCAAAGACAGAAAAAGTATGATTTATATAGCTTATATTTTTTGAAATAATGAAAAGAAATAAAAGCTCATCCTTTTAAAATTCTTGTTGAATCCTTACATTTCTTTCTTTTTACCCTCCATCCTCTACCTTCCTCCCTCTCTCAAAGACAAACTATGTCAAGATTTGATGTAGAATGTTCAGTTTTTCTAAGCATATTTATATGCTTATAAATTTATATTTTATTCATACTATAACATTTATATTTTTATTAATACCTTACCATTTACATGTTAATAATATTTTCAAAATACAATGCTAAATTGCATTTGTTCCCTTAGGAATGTACTACAAATCCCCTTCTATGTCCATATATAATTATCAAATCTGCTGTTTATGTTTACCTCTTGTTCCATTATGTGATATTTCAAACTTTAGTCTAATATTCATTCATGTATGCAATAAATTTACTAATACATTCTATTCAAAGCTTTGGTTTTAACTAACAAAAGTGACATATCACTTGCCATCATGAATCTACAATCTAATTGGTTAATATAGGTGTAAAAAAAAATAAAAGCAAAGAAAAAAATAATTCAGGACTAAAAAGATATGGAGTTAGCATCTTAGCAAATGCTAAAGAATTGCTATTTCTTATAGGTTAAGTCAGTGAGGGGACAAGATACATAGGTTTGAGTAGGGAGAGATTTCAGGCAAAAGGAAGAACACTGCAAACTCCTTG